AAATTTTGCTATTCTGACTGGGGTGAGATGATATCTCATAGTTGTCATCTTCATCTTCTTCCCCTTCTACATCTTCGTCTTCATCTTCATCTTCTTCATAAAAATCATCCTCTTAATAAAAATCATGCTCTTCTTCATCCTCCTCTTCATCATCCACCATTCACCTCAGCATCTGAGTCAGGGGTTTCTTGTCCCCTTGGTCATAGGCATCCAGGTAGGTCAGCTGGGATAGGAGCTTGAAGATGCTCTCCGGGTCATCATTCAAGTTGGTAACCTCCCAGTTAAACAGATCCAGGCGTTTCAGATTCTCCTATTTTTTTTTCCCAAGGTGCTGATATCAGTTTTTCTGCTAACATGTCCAGACTTCCAAAGATTCTATTTTCTCTGTGCTTAAGCTTTTTCAATTTTGGTAATTTGGGGAGATTTGAAAATGAAATCAAGCCTACATCTATTAAACTGAGGAACTCTAAATTCATAAATTCAGCTGTTAAATCCTCCGTTTTCCCATCATTTGACTTGCAGTTGTCCAGGACAAGTTCTCGGAGAGCTGCCAGGGTCTAGTTTCTCAGCTCCAGGTGGATCCTTCTGTCCAGGGTGCCCCTCTTCTCCCCCTCTTCAAACTTTACTTTCTATGGAGGGAGTAGAAGGGGAGTGGTGTCCAGCCTGCACAGCGAAGGCTGCTGGAAGCGGGGTGCTGGTGGCTGCGTCCAGTTGTGTGTTCCTGGGCGGTGGGCGCTGCGCAAGCAGAGCCTCTGGAGTGGAGAGAAACCATGGAGGGAAAAGGGGAGCTGGAGCCCAGCACTGGTCTCACCACCAACCCTGGCCACAGGCCCCCACTGCTAGGACATCTCTCTTCATAGCATGTCCAGAGAACATGAGACGAAGTCTTCCCAACGCTGCTACTAAGGAACACTTGCTGCATTTCTTTTTTAGATCTTCTTTAGCTTCTAAGAGCAGAAACTTATTTTCTCCCATTTCTGTTGAATGTTAAGTAGAAATTCAGACTGTCTGCAGAGCCATGCTCTCTGAAGTTCTAGGATAAGAACTTTATTTTTGTTTTGTTTTTGTTTGAGTTGTGTGTGTGCTTTGAGTGAGCTATGGACTGAACCTAATCATTGAACAGATTTTATTTGATGGCATAAGTTAGTCCCACTTCTTCCTTGCGATTCTCATTTGCCTTTTTCCTTCCATCTTCTCTCTTGCTGCCTTCTGAACTTTCTCCCTTGGCAGACAGTACCTTTATGATCTTCTATGACTGACAGTTCTAGGAAATAAATACCTCCGCGGTGTTACTGTTCAATTATAAGCACGTCTACAGTCATGCATTTGAAAGCTGGACAATGAAAAATGATGACAGAAGAATAGATGTGAGCTGAGGTGCTGGAGAAGGTTACTGATTATCCAAGGACTGCCAATAGAACCGACAGTTCTGTTATGGAAGAAGAGCAACCAGCATGTGCCTCAGAAGTGAGGGCAGCAAAACTTGCCTCACTTTGGGGCATATAGTCAAGAGGGACCAGTCACTGGAAAAATACATCCTGCTGGGAAAGGTGGAGGGGCAGAGAAGGAGAAGATGACTCTCAACCAGATGGACTGATGCTGACGTTAACAATGAGCTGGAGCTCAATGGGGAGGATGGCAAAGGGCAGACAGATTCATTAACACAAATAACAGCATCTATGAATACCACGCTCCTTTAAAAGGTCGGCTATGTGAGACATTCTTCTAGGTGGTCTAGCGCTGGTCTGTGCATTGATGTACAGAGGTAACTCGTGGTCGCTGTGATGCTGAACACTGGGACACTGATGTGCCAAACGTGGCAATGGTCACCCATGGTGAACAGTGTTTGCTGCAGCTTCCCAATTAAAACAAGCCTGGAAGCAGGAGCGGCATCCACTTCCAAAATGGCTTGCCTCCAGAAATTCTATGTATGAACAGTGCTCAGGCCTTTCGTTCATAGGGTCACTATGAGTCGTTTACGACACGACAGCACCTAACAACAACAACATGCGAGACAAAAGTATAGCTGAGAATTTAAGGGACCAAGGCAATTAAATTAGGAAATGGAACCACCAAAAAGGAAATAAAGAGAAAGCTGACACACTGAAAAATGTAAGCCGTGCCTCTGAATAACCACAGAAACTGTAATAGACCCTACTTTGCTGTGTGAACTTTCTTCACAAACACAGTATCATAATAACTATTAAAATTCATTTGGGACAGTGCTTGACACATAGTAAATACTCAAAGTTTAGCTGTCATGTTGTTGTTTTGTATCATAGAGTCAGAAAAGACTCATAGCTGACCCTCTGGTGGGTTTTCAGAGGCAGTGAATCACACAGGAGGAACCACGTGCCTTTGGGATTGCAGCACAGATTCCTGCCACTAGGCCACCAGAGCTCCCATAGCTGTAACAGGCATTATTTTAATTCCTTTCCTAGTCATAAATTTCCTCACAACCGCCTCCCTACACCCTTTGAACTCTTGTTCCTATGAACAACTTCCCTAATTCCCTCATCCTCTTCCTTAACTTGCCTTCTATTTACACTGTGGTCACTAGAATAAACCTGCATGTGGTTCCGAGGTAGCTATTCAGTGAAGGTATCTCATGTTTCCTTCCATAAAGACTTGAAGAACATTGTCCTAACTTTTCTTTTTTAAATTTTAATTGATATTTTAATGAAATTTTATTGAGAACTTGAATTTCCATTTATTCATTGTTGCATATTTTCCTCCCTTCTCACCTCCCCAGTTTGCTTTTCTCTTTTAAAAAAAAAACCCAAAAACAAACTTCCATTGTTGCACAATTTCCTTCCCCCTACACCGTAGTCCATTTTGCTATGAAGCTCTTATCATATAAATAATACCTAATCATATATTTCTTTTAAACAGTTCTTTCCCTCATCTGTTTCAATACAATATGTTATTAATCCCCCCAAATCCCACATCAGTCCTGTTTTATAACAGTGGTGTTATGCAACATTTGTCCTTTTGTGACTGAGATAGTTCACTCCTAACTTTCCATGATCACATCTAGCCACTAGGCATCTACCATTAGAAGACATTTCCCTCTTAACACATTTGCCTTAAGAGTTTACAAGAGCATCATGCTATATCTCTTTATCTTTCCACATTTCAGATGTCCACCTCTCCCGAACCAAAGACAGGAGTCATAATAATTTCCAGCTACATCTCTTCTCAAGGAAACAGCCTGAATCCACAGGCTCTCTTGTCCAAAGCAGCTGTGTTTCTGCTCTAGTCCTACTTCCACCATCACAAGTATGTGACGAGCACACTGACTCAACACCACCTGGCAAGAGCTTCAAAAGAAAAGGTGGTCTAACCAGATTCCTTCAAGAAATCCTAACTGGGAAAAGAGGGCGAAAATAAAAGCCACCAATGGGAAGAACTGAAGCAAAAAGGATGTTGCAGCTGGAGGACACCTGCAAATGTTTTGAAGTTGTGAGGGAGCAGAGTATACAAGGAAAATGGCATCAGCTGCCACTGAGTTGGTCCCAATTCATAGTGACCTCAGGACAATGGGACTGGGACACTGTGACCAACAGAGTTTGCACTGGACGACTCTCAGAAGCAGATCACCACTCCTTTATTTCTAGGTTGGTTGAGTCAAAAAGCTCCACTGAAATTTATTCAACACCAAAGCAACATGCAAATGTCCACAGCTAGACTAGTGGTGACTATGCATCACGTGAGCTGGCTGGAACCGGAACGCATGTCCTCCATGTGGAAGGGAAGAATCCTACCATCAATCACAGGGTTGCACAGTTTGATGAGTGGAGGGAGGGGTGTGGGTAAAACAAATGGTAAAGATCCAATAAGAAAAACAATGTACATGAATTTTGTAAGTAAATAAGTATAAAGTAAAAATTTTCTTTAAAAAATAATCTTATCATTTGGTCACCAATGCCTTAGCAAGGAAAACTAAAACAATTAAGAAGTTAAGAATAGCGAAGAATACAGGGCATAGCTAACAAAGAGAAGGGAAAAGCAGAGCCACAGAGAGAAGTAGGGGGAATATTTAAAAATTAAAAAACCTAAAAGTTAATTCAGCTAATTCAGCTGCCAAGGCCTTTTCCAATCCCAGTAACTCAGGAGTGGGTAACTAGCCACCTCCTCTAAAGGTAAACGTAAGCAAGCTTGCTCACTCACTGGAAAGGTATCACCTTTATTAGCGTATGAGTCATCCGCCTCTGAAGACTGACACTTGGTTCTATTCATCTCATGCCTGTCATCACTGCAGTAACTTGAACACTCAAGTAAATGATCACTGAGTCTTGCCTTGAATAGTCAGACCCACTCTAGTTTGGTACCTTGCTTCCCAAACTACACATTTTTTTTTCTTGTTTTTAAATTCCCCCCACCCCAAGCTGTTTTACAGCAAAGCCACAGCAGATGTACCATTTAATTGATGCCATCCTCAAAGTATGGCCCCAAGGCCCAGGCTACTCTTTCTGTTCCCATAGAATCTCTCCTAGACCTTCCCCATTCACCTCAAAGCACTTCTGGTTCCTCTCTTAGTCAATTCTCAAGAATTCGAAGCTATCAGGAGCCTGTCCTCTCTGATCTAAGGCTGCTCTCCTCTAACTTCTCCACTCTCCCATTCTCTCCAGTTGCTGCCATGAGAAGCTAAGAAGTGATTTCCTATTTTCTAAGTGGCTTAGGATCAGTAAAATATTTAAGGTTTGGAGGTAAGAGTTTCATTTTACCCTTGGGAGATGACTGGTATGTAGCTGCCAAGTTGCCACCACAGCAAGACAGGTCCATTCTGTTACCAGGATCAAACAAACAAACAAACAAATAAAGCCCTCACATCTACATTAGGTTTGTCTAATATCTGGGGCTTGAACACCACTTTGGTCTTTTTCTTAACTAACCTTATCTCACATTTTTTATGGGCCTGAAAGGGGATGGAGAAGTTAAAAATAGAGTTGCCAAGCAAAGTTGCCACTGACACTGGTATTGTTGCTTACCTGCAGTCCACTAAATGAAGGAACAAAATAAACTCCTTGAGAATCTTCTAAACTTTTGGCCATTCCTTCAGTCTCAGCAGCATCTGTGAAAAGATCTGCAAAGACAGAAGCAAGGGTAAACAAAACGCTGATGCATGATTACTATTCCTCCATGGGAATGTGAAATTATTCCAAGATGTCTGTGCAATTAAAAGAAATACCTCGATAAGATTTCTCTTTTCCAAAAGACAACAAGTAAAATCATTTCAGTAGTATCTTTGATATATTAACAGTTGAATTCCTGAGTGACTTTGGAATTAACATGGTGACCAAGACCAGAAAGAAGACAAAGACCCTTGTGTGGCAGTCACCACAAACATTACTGTCTTTGTAGAGCCATAAGTTGGTTTTATCCTATCATCTGTCATTCTTTTTTTTCTTTAATATCAAATTTTAAAAAATTTTTTTATTTTTATTATTTGTGTGTATGTGTACCATCAAATCAGATCTGACTGGTACAGGAGGAGATTGTCCCTCCTTTCCCAGCAGAGCATCTGGTGGATTCGAACCATGCGCCTCTGGGATTGCAATGCAGCTTCTTGCCACCAGGCCATCAGAGCTCCCCTATCATCTGTCATTCTTAAAATGAACAAGTGACTAAAGCAGGAAGTTTATGGAGCAATAATGCGAAAGCTCCAATTCAAGAAGCTGACAGAACACCATGTGCCACCCAAGAAGGTATGTGCTCACCCATGTTTACTGCTGCTTTGTTCACAATAGCAAGGAGTTGGAAACAACCCAAGTGCCCATCAAGAAATGAATGGCTACAGAAGCTGTGGTATATTAAAAAAAAAAGGGAATATTATGCAGCATTGAAAGACAAGGGACTCGTGAAATATTATAAAAAATGAGTGACCTTGGAGGATGTTATGCTGAGTGAAATATCTCAGTAACAAAAGGATAAATATTGTATAGCGCCACTGTTGTAAAACAGAACTGACATCAGAGTTGGGGGGAAACTAAGAGGGGATAAATAATGTATACTGCATTGAAACAGATGAGGGAGAGAACTGTTTAGGAGGAATATATGATTAGATATTACTGTCATGACAAAAGCCCAGAATAAAAGCTGCATAGTGGAGTGAACTGGGGGTGGGGGTGAGGCTGGGGGGTGGGGATTGTATAACAATGAAATAATTTGTTTAGGTGTTGTGTTTTTTTTTTACTTTTCAAAGAGAAAAGCAAACTGGGGGCAAGGGGTGGGCAAGGAGGAAAATGTGCAACTATGAATGAATAGAAATCCAAAGTCTCAGTAAACGTTCATTAAAATTCTTTTTTTAAAAAATATACACACACACACACACACACACACACACACACAGAGCATGTCTTAGTGTAGCTAATAAGTGCCTCTTTGTTTTCCTTATCAATTACATCTTTGCACTGGGACCTGGTTCCCTGTTTTTTGTCCCTGTAGTGAGTACATGCTGTTCCACTTTGCAAATGTTACAAATTTACTTCTATGCCAGTCTGGTATTTTTTCCTTTATAAATAAACTCTCTTCCTGTTTCAGAGCTTTCCTTTAACAGTGATATTTAGACAATTCATCTGGAATAACTACACGTGTGTCTTGGGGCTTTTTTCTGGGGCAGGGGGGCAATCTCTGCCTGATACTTGTCAATCATTTCAGTCTAAAAACTCAACTTTTTCTTCCCCTTAAAGAAGTCTGTTTTCAATTATTTCTTCCATTACTATATTTCAATTTATTAGTTTCCCACTTTTTGGTAAAATAACATTCTGGAAAAGGCACTTATTTACCTACTTCATTGCTGTTCTCTTCTCCCTATCTTTTTTATTCTTATTCAGTGAATGTTTACAAATCATATTGATTTATTCAATTATTGACATTTTATGTATAACATTGTTTTTATGTATCACTAAGTTATCTACGACTCATAATGATCCTACAAACAAAGCTCTGAACCCTACCTTACCCTGAGCCAATCTCAGTCTCTGACACACCTACTCCCATTATCACAGTCACTGTATCAGCCCATCTCATCTAGGAGCTTCCTCTCCTGTGCTGACCCTCTAGCCTTCCAAGCATCATGTCCTTCTCCAAGGACTAGTACTTCTTGACAAAATTCCCTAAGTATAAGAGATGGAGTTTCAACATTCTAGACTCCAAGGAGAAACCTGGTTTCACCCTCTCCAAGACAGCCGTGTTTATTGTCTTGGCAGTCAGTCCATGGTATGTTTAATACTGTTCTCTAGCAGTACAACTCAAAGGCATCAATTCTTCTGTCATCCTTAGTCACTGTCCAGCTCTCTAATGCACAGCAAATAACTGTGAATACCACGACATTGATCAGGCACATCTTAGTCCTTATTTTGACACTGTTACTCTTCAGAGCTCTGGAGAGGCCCCTGACAGCAGACTTTCCCAATTCAACTCATCTTTTGATTTCCTACCTGCTGGTGCCAAGAGTACTGATCATGGAACTGAGTAAGAGGAAACTGTTAACAATCTCAATCTCTTCTCCATCTATCATGATGCTGCTAACTGGTCTAGTGGTGAGAATCTTTGTTGTTGTTTTTTTTATGTTGAGCTTAAATCCATACTTGAGACTGCAGTCCTTGGCCGCCTTCAGCAAACGCTTCAGGTCCTCAGGTTCAGCAAGCAGGGTTGTGTCATCTGCATAATGTAAGTTATTCATGAGTATACCTCCAATCCTGATGCCACATTCCTCCACAGAGAGCCAAGCCTCCAAAATGATCTATTTACACAGATTAAAAAGGTCTGGAGAAAGGATGCATTTTTTAAGCACTCCTTTCTTGATTTTGAACCATGCAGAGTGATTAATTTATTACCATGTCCTAACAAACTCTTATCATATGCTGCCTTTCCCTTTACCGAACTTAGATATTTATTAACTTTTACTCCCTTCTCCTTCTCTTCCAATCCCTATTAAACCTCCAAGATTGCTTATATTCTATGTAAACCTTTCCGTAGCCTTTTATAACTTATATGACAGTTGTCCTTTTGTGACTGAGTTATGTCATTCTCTGTACTTCTTACCCTTTGGTTCTAATTTCATTTCTTTTCATTTTTAAATTCTTTCTGATCCTCACTTTACTTTTCAGAATTTTCCATCCTACTTTTAATATTTTTTTATACTTTCTGTTCCTAAAAGTTCTCTAAATATTTCTTTGCAACAGTTTTTTTACCAAATATTTTTGGCTTTTCTTTTTCATTGTCTATTTCTTCTATATTTCTGTCTGCATCTACAGGAGTCACTTATAGTTTGTTCAGTTTGGCTACCTTCCTTTTAGGAATGATGTGCTCTTAAATATTTTATCCTCCCTTCATATTTCCAGCCAAGGCTGTGGGAATGGTATATAGTAACAGTTAAGGAGGGAGGAAGTTCACGTAACTCAGGTTCCTCTACATGTGAGCATAGATAATTAGGGTTTCCCCTCAGCTTAGAAGCGGAGCTGTTCACGCACAGCACAATTAATGTGCTTTCTGGTACTGCACATGACAGGGACCATTCTAGCTCCTTCTTCTCGACATGCTGGAGGGACAGCAGACAGACTAGCAGGCAAGTCCCCAAGAGATTACTTATAGGGTTCTTGCTATCTCGGTATTTTCATCAAGAACCCAGATGGTGTCCCTTATAGTCTTCACAGTGTCCATGAGAACCTGAGGTTGTATCTACCACCCCAGCAGGAAGAAGAGGGAGCCAGGGCCATGAACTATACTCAGATTAGCATCTTCTCTGAATCCTACTTACTATCAGTAATACTTAACTACTTATCACCACCTAAAATCAATACATAAATAAGAGAATGTTTATGTCATCTCTAATGAGAGACTGCATCTCTCTTGGGATGGCATCCAAAGACATGGAACCAGTTTCCTGTATTTCTAGTAAACAAAGGTGCTGGATAATTTTAAGTGTGCACAGGAAGTCTTCTGGGGATTGCCTCGAGCAGGCACATATCATATGCAGCGATTAAAAGTTATCTTGCTAAGGAAAAGTGGTCCCCTGACCCTTGTTACTGGAGGACAGCAGAGACGGGAAATGCCTTGACTATAGAGAAGGAATAGCATTCTTTGACCTTGATCTTCCCAGCCAGATCTCACACATAGGTCCTCTTTGCTTGAAGCTTTCTTGTTTCAATGCCTCTCCATCTTCCAAATTACTTTTATTGTTCACTCAAGGCTCCGCTGATACAGCACTTCTTAAAAGAAGCACTCTGAGTTTCCAGAAGCACTCTGAGTTTCCAGGAGTCCCTGGGTGGCTCAAATGGCCATGTAATAGGTTGGCAGTGCAAAATCACCCAGAAGGGTGACCTGTTTCTGAAAACTCACGAGAGCACAGTTCTACTCTATATAAATGGGATCCTCATGACTCAGAATTGACTAAAAAGCAACTAGTTTGGGGTTCCTTATTGGTTTTATTCCCCCTAGTTTTGCATACTACTGCCATTTCTCCTTCTCATCATTTAATACTAACAGTTTTAAAAAACAAAACAACTTCACCAAAAAAGACATTCAGATGGAAAAAAACACATGAAGAAATGTTCTAAATCCCTAGCTCTAAGAGAGATGCGAATCAAAACAACTATGAGATATCATCTCACCCCAGTCAGAATAGCAAAATTTAACAGAACAGCAAGCAACAAATGCTGGTGAGGTTGTAGAGAAACTGGAACCCTTATTCACTGTTGGTGGGAGTGTAAAATGGTGCAACCACTGTGGAAGGCGGCATGGCACTTTCTCAAAAAGTTGCAAATAGAGATACCATTTGACCCAGCAATTCCACTACTGGGAACATACCCTGAAGAGACCATAACTGATATCCAAGCAGATATATGCACACCCATGTTTACTGCATCTTTGTTCATAATAGCAAGGAGTTGGGAACAACCTAAATGCCCATCAACAAACGAATGGATAGTGAAGCTCTGGTATATTCACACAATGGAATACTATGCTGCATTGAAAAACAAGGAACTCATGCAAAATTATTCAAAATGGGTGACGCTGGAGGACATTGTGCTGAGTGAAGTATCTCAGTCACAAAAGGACAAATACTGCATGGTGCCACTACTGTAAAACAGGACTGACATCGGGTTTGGGGGTAGACTGAGAAAGATGGGTTTAATAATGTATTCTGCATTGCAACAGATGAGGGAGAAAACTGTTTAAAAGGGAGATGTGATTAGGTATCTTTATCATGACAGGAGTCCAGAGCAAAGGCTGCATAGTGGAGTGGACCTTGGGGGAGGGACTGTAAAACAATGAAAGAATTTTTCTTTTACTTTTCCAAGAGGGTAGTGTACTGGGGGAGAGGGTTGGGAGGGGAGAAAAGTGCAACAATGAATGAATGGAAATCCAAAGTCTCTGTAAACTTTCATTAAAATTAATAAAAAGAAAGGAAAAAAACCCCAACACCCAAAATCCTGGTCATGCAATGTTGTTGTTGTTGTTGACTGCCTTTAAGTTGAGCACGACTCATAGCAACCCCATGAACAAAAGGACTGAAGCCCCTCTACAACAATCGACATTTATTCAAGTTCAGAGAGTTTCCAGAGGCATTTTATTTAGGAAGTGGATGCCACTCCTGCTTCCAAACTAGATAACAGTCTCAATGGATAAGAGTGTGTACTCATTGGTGTCCCTTAGTATCTAGTCCAGTTCTAAGTGGATACTGAACACTGTAATATTTGTTAATGTCCACTAACTGATGAACAGATAAACTGTGGTATATCCATGCAATAGAATATGATTAAGCAACATGGAGAAATGAAACAGTGATATATTATACAATACAGGCAAACTTTAAATATTATACTAAGTGAAAAAGGTCAACATTGAAAAACCACATATTGTATGAGTTTGTTCATATGACATTTGCAAAACAGACAAATCTAGAGACTGATAGTAGATCAGTGGTAGTTTAAGGTTAGGGGGTTTAGAAGAGTAAGAATGAATGGTCATTGTTGTTATATGCCATTGAGTCACTGGCGACTATGTACAACAGCTCTGAACCTTGCTCTATCCTGAGCTAATTTCATCATCTCTGACACACCTATTACACCTATTACCCCAGTCACTGAGTCAATTAATTTCATCGAAGATCTTCCTCTTCTGTGCCATCCCTTCACCCTCCCAAGTATGATGTCCCTCTCCAAGGACTGGTCCCTCCTTGCAACATGTCCAAAGTATGTTCAGAATTCTTGCCTCCAAGGAGCAGCCTGGCTTTAGCCTCTCCAGGATGAACTTGTTTGTTCTCCTGGCAGTCCATGGTATACTCAGTACTCTTCTCCAGCACCACAGCTCAAAGGCATCAACTCTCCTTCTATCATTCCTAGTCACTGACATATCAAGTACCTGAAAGACCATGGCCTAGATCAGGCACACCTTGTTGTTGTTGTTGTTGTTATGTGCCGTCGAGTCACTTGCGACTCATACTGACCCTATGACAGCCCTAAACTCTGCTCTGTCCTGTGCCAATTGCACCGTCTCTGATACATCCATCCCGATTACCCCAGTCACTGAATCAATCCACCTCATAGAGGGCCTTCCCCTGCTGCACTGTCCCTCCACCCTACCAAGCATGATGTCCCTCTCTAAGGTCCCTCCTTACAGCATGTCCAAAGTATGTTAGACAAAGCCTCAGAATCCTTGCCTCCAAGGAGCTGCCTGGTTTAACCCTTTCCAGGATGAATCTGTTTGTTTTCCTGGCAGTCCACGGTACCGTCAATACTCTTCTCCAGCACCACAGCTCAAAGGCATCAATTCTCCTTCTATCCTTCCTAGTCATTGTCCAACTCTCTGATGTATAACAAGTGATAGCAAAGACCATGGCCTGTATCAGACGCACCTTAGTCTCCAGAGAGACACCATTGCTCTTCAGTACTTTGGAGAGGTACCTAAGAGCAGACTTTTCCATCGCAATACGTCTTTTAATTTTCTGGCTGCTGGTGCCGAGACTGTTGACTGTGGAGCCAAGCAAACTGAAGCTGTGAACAATCTCAATCTCTTCACCATCCATCCTGACACTGCCAATTGGTCTAGTGGTGAGAATCTTTGTCTTCTTGACATTAAGCCTCAATCCATATTGAGTCAGGCACACCTTAGTCTAATAAAATTAGATTGTGATGATGGTTCCAAAATCCTGTGAGTACACTGAAAAAACAAAGCCCAAAGACCTCCTAATTAACTGTAGACTTTAAATGAATGAATTGCACGGCATATAGATTCTCTCTCTACTCAACTGCCTTCATGTTGCAACTGACACACAGTTGACCCTGCAGTGGGTTTTCAGAGGCTACAAATCACATGGGAGGAGAATGTTCATCTTCCTCCCCTGGAGCTGCTGGTGACTGCAAATGCCAAACACGCCTGGCCTCTGGGTCACCACTGCAACTCCGTAAGGGCTATGCCACCAGTGTCTCTCACATGAATTATTTCTTACTTACTAAAGCAGTATTTTAACGGGGGAAAAGAATTTATACCTGCTTTTCTGTAATTGCATCACTCCCTCCTTAATGTATCATGGGCAATGCTCCATGTCAGTAAGAGAATGCAATGGCACTGTTATTTTTAAATGACTACCCTCTGCGTGAATGCACTGTCTGACATTTATTTACTCCATGTTTATCATTAGAGAGGAACTTGCTTTCAATTACTGTATTAAACACATGGATGTGGGCTCATATCCTTGCACACTATACAATTACTCTGTTAGCAAATAAAGAGCAGGAGGAAAGGATCAGTTTTTAATATGATGTGTGAAGTTGAACTGTCCTCCAGAACAGCCACTCTGAGTAACTTGCATTCCAAGGGAAAACAAGGCAACATTTCTCTCTGTATTCCCACCAACATCATGCAGCTTGTTCCTCCTTGACAGCAGACCGTAAACACCTGTATTTTGTTTAAATGTGTTTTTATTTGATTATGGAGTCTGAGCAGCATTTCCCAGTGGCCATCTCATTTCCTTTATGAAATATCTGTCCTAAACTCTGCCCACTTTTCACTTTTCTTCTGACATGCTGAAGATGGGATTTTTTAAAAACTAATTTTATCACTTTTTTTTGTTACCAATTTTACCACTTTTCTTATGGCATGTATTTTCTTATACATGCTGGTATTTTATGACACAGTGACTGCAGCAATAGGTTCAAACATGATGGAGATTGTACGGATGACACAGGACATGGCAAGGTTCTGAATCGGATTTGTTATTCACAAAGGTCACAATGAGCTGTAGTTGACTGGATAGCACCAAACACCTACAACAACAAAGGTTCTTGGCCTTAAAAATTTAGCCTTTTATCTTGACAGCACCTAAGAACAATACATCAGTCATGTTGCAAGGAGGGTCTATTCCTTGGAGAGGGACATGATGCTTGGAAGAGTAGAGGGTAGGTGAGGGAGATGAAGACCCTCAACCAGATAGATTGACACAGTGACTGCTGCAATGGGCTCAAGTGTCTCAGAAAGTGTGAAGAGCTCAGAGGATAGAATGGGGTTCAGATATGCTGTTCAGAGGGTCATTATGAGTCGCACTTGACTTGATGGCACCTAATAACAAAATATCAGAAAAATATGCTAGCACAATTTTTTAAATCTGTTCTAATTTTTGTTTTGAATCTTTTCTTTTATCATAAGTCATTACATGCTTATTTGACTAACCCATTAGTTCTCTACTGATCTAGGGCCAGGCAGCATTCTTGAATTCTTTAAGCTCTGCTTTGTGAAATCTGGTTAGAGGAGGACTTACTTAACTGCTGTGCCCATTTTATGGCAGTTCCCGTGTCTCCTGCATTCCCTTCAGCTAAACACACAACTTCTTGTCCAATCTTCCATCCAATCAGGGGATAAAAACCTTAAAAAAAAGGCAAAGGAAATCACACCATAAATACATAAGCCCCTACAGAGACTTCTACAGTGCCACAATCGGATTAAATCAAGACACAGCAAAGCAGCTCTGAAGTCAGAATGCCTAAGTTCAAATTCCAGCTCCCTGACATTGAGTAGCTATCGCCTTAGAAGTTCTTAACCACTTAGCTTCAGTTTCCACAAATATAAAACATCTGCCTCAGAGAGTTAAGTGAAAAGAAATGGAGTTACAGACTGTGCATGCATAGCTGAAAGCAAAATCAATTTGCTTTATAAACATTCAATAAAAGAAGAACAAAGAATAGAGGTAAATCACAATAAAAAGAGGAGAAAAATGCATGAAATTAAAAATATCAAGAAGTTACAGCACAGCATCTGTCCTAGCTGAGGAACAATATTAAGTTTTGTTAGCTGCATGGAGGTCTATATCCCAAGAAGCACAGAAACAATAACTTGTGGATAAATAAAAGTTATTGCGAAACTGGCTTGCTGGAGAAACTACAACTATATCATTTTCTGTCATTTCTAAACCCTCCTAAAGAGAAACAACGTCACAAAGTGACCAACATTTCTTAGCTCCTATTTTTCTCAATTTGGAAAAAGGAAGAACTTGAGGGAAGATGGAATGTGGGGTTGGGGGGGAGGGAGATTTTTCAAAATAATCACTTAGTACCCAGGCTAGGAGAACAGAACCCAAGACTAGGGGGCCCCAGCTTGGCTGAGGTAGTTCTATGAGTGGGATTCCACAACTGTGAGCTAAAAGGCCAACGGTTGGAGTGCGAAAGCAGACACACAGGAAGAAGTCACGGCTGATGGCATCTGTGAAGAGCACAGCCTCTATTCAGCACTGCTCTATCAGACAGTCCCTGTGAGTTGGAAGTGACTTGATGACAATGGGGTTTTATTAATTTAAGGTGTTTTAAGCAAGAATAAGATATATTACCCTCAGTCTTAAGGTTCATTGCTATTCACAGCGATCCATTGGGTTTAAGGCTGGAAATCTTTACAGGTGGGGTGTAGTGGGGTCTACTGGCTTTTCTAGACCATTGCCTTCGACTTTGCCACATGGCCGGGCAAAAATATGCAAAGAGAATATGTGAAGTCTATCCACAAGGGGACTGGCTAGTTTCACCACGCCACCAGGTTTAAAGCGAGCAGGTTTGATGCCAGAAACTTGGCAATCTTAGTACCAGCAAGGAAGAAGCAGCAAAGAATACAATATGTGTCCTTCAGTGCCTTGAACCAGCCAGACCTACAGGAGAGAAACAGCAGGGAGCCAGAGACCCGACGTGAGACAGAGCTGAGCTGGTGTGGGAGCTTGAGGAGGCATGTCTGACCCCAGGGGAGCTGGTTTTGTGTTGTGGATGCTCTGAGTATGGACAGTTCCCCCTTGCAGAAATAGTAGCAGTCAGGCTCAGTCATCCTCACACTGCCCTGGCTCATTTACAATAGAAGACTGGCCTTATTCTTCCTTGCAGCAGCTGGTGGACTCGAACCACTGATCAAAAGCTCTGGTTCACAGAGCTCTGGTGGCCTAGTGGCAAAAAGCTGAGCTGCAATCCTTGGAGGCACATAGTTCGAGACTACCAGCTGCTCCATGGGAGAAGGATAGGAAATCTCCTCCCGTGCAATTAACTCTCTGAAAACCCACTGGAGAGTCACCTATGGGTCGGTTCTGACTCTACAGTACACAACAATGACAACACCTAACACACAACACCCCCACTACTCCTTTCATTATCTGTATTATACATAAATACTTTGCAAGCTGACCAAAATACCTACTCTTTCTGAATTTCTCATTTTTTTGTAACATAAGGTCCCCCTACTATACTTTTAATGGGGGAAAAAAATAGAAAGGAAAAAGATTAATTGCTTCCAAGATGGGTGGAGGAATGTGAAGGAAGAGAAAGGGTGCAGTGGGGACTTGATGAGGCAGGATAAGTCACAGACCAGTGGTAATTAATTATATAAAATACAATGTCAAGAAATTACCAGACAAAACAAAACATACACTCTGGACTGTCTACATATACTACATTAAATAAAATGTTACCCAAAAAAAGTGAAGGAAAAAAGGAGAATAATGAAAAAATGTTAATTATAGATTTTTCTGAACTCAGAAATAATAATTGAAATATCACAGAAATGAAACCTTAGCAGAAGCAGTGATGTAATACTAATCAGCAGTATCAATTCTATTTACCTCCAACAGACTGCTGAGGGTTGTTGCCAGTATTAATGTCCAAGAAAGTTCCAGTTCCCATCGTTAACTTCACATCTCCTGTGTGGAAGCAGCACTCGCCAAACATGGCTGCTTGCTGGTCGGCGACCTGTTGGGACGAGTCAACGTCAGGCCTTCTGCCTTTGCACCAGCTCATTTCCCGACTTCACACTGCCTCAATTACTCTATTTTCACCCATAGGTGTTTTTTTTCCCCATTTTCTATTTTTCTTTAAAAATCTCCTAGGAGAACACTGAACAAGTACAGAGTAACAGCCTCTCTAGAAGGACAAACAAATGTAACAAGCAAATCGAATACACATTAAATGTGAGAGCTACTTTGTGACTTTTAAATATTCTGTGGGTAACTTACTGTAATTATAATTTAGAGGAGCATTCTTCTCACGATTGTGGCACTGGTCTGTCAATTTGCTGGACTGAGGTAACCTGGAGTGGCTGTGATGCTGAACTCTGTGCCACTGGTGTGCCGGTTACCCATGGTGGACAGTGTTTGGTGGAGCTCCCAGTTTAAGACAGGTTTGGAAGCAGGAGTGGCATCCACTTCCTAAACCACATGCCTCTGGAAACTCTATGAACTTTTAGAAATGACGATAGTTATACAAAGTTGCAATAGGGTCACTATGAGTCGTGCTCAACTCAACTGCAATCAACAACAACAACAACAACGGGTAATGTAAGATATAAAGATCAAAATGAAATTTGTGTTGAAGGATAATGTCACTCTCAGCTTAAAGGTTGTACTCATCAGTCAAAATAAGAGATCACAAAAATTTCTCTTTTAATAAGAAATTTCTGGTTTTAATTTTGAAGGAGCTCTACCAGTTCAGCCTGTAGCATGCTGCACCAATAAACAAAAGGTACCAAAGGGGTTTTTTGTTGTTGTTGTGTTTGTGGGTTTTTAGCAAAACAAGTGAAAAAGGTTTCTCATGGTATTAAGACAGAAGCATAGGTAGTGAACAGTAAGCCATGCAAGAGTAAAGTGAAAAAGAAAGAAAAGGGAAGAGGAGGAGAAAGACAGGGATGAATCCAAAACTTGAAGCATGCTGTCAGCAAAAAGGAGAGAAGAAGAAAAACAAATGAACCAAAGTTCCTTAATTATAAGCAGATTTAAGTCAAAACCATGTCTATCCCTAGTACTATTTTTTTATTTGTTTTTTTAAAAAATGGGTGGGGAGAGCAATGAATGAATGGAAATCCAAAATCTCAGTAAATGTTCATTAAAATTATTTTTTAAAATATTAAAATAAAATTTTATAAAAAGAAATGCTAACAGAAAATAAAATAGTACAGCATTACGAAAGGTAAATGGAGATATGTTGTTGTTAAGTGCAGGTTGAGATGACTCACAGCGACCTTATGAACATAAGTCCTGGACACCTCCTGTATAACTTTCATCCTTTCTCCAGGTTCTAGGGTTTCCCGAGGCAAACTATTGTGGAAGTAGATGCCACTCCTGCTTCCAAGCTTGTTTTAATCGGGGAGCTCCACCAAACACTTTGCACCATGGGTAACCCTTCTCACATTTGACTCATCAGTGTCTCAGTGTTCGGCTTCACAGCAACCACGAGTTACCTCTGTATAGCAAGTGGACATACCCGGGATACACAACCTAGAAGAATGTTTCACCAAAAATGGAGATAGAAAGAGAACTATTATATCCAAGGGGAAAAAATCAATTTGATTAAAGGAAAAGTCTTTTCATTAATCTGTACTCTTGCAGTCATATATTCACCTCAACTTGAGCCTGCTCTGAAATTGAATAGGACTGTTGTTAGGTGCAAATCGAGTTGTTTATGACTCATAGTCACCTGACAAACAATAGGTAAGAACCCTGCCCTGTTCCCACAATCTGATATGTTCTAGCATGTTGTCACAGTCACTGTGTCACCTTATCTCCTTCAGCATCGTCCTCTTTTTGGCTGCCCCTCTAATTTTCCCAGCATGATCTCTTTCTCTCTCTAAGGACCTGTCCCTTCTAACAACTCTCTCTAAGGACCTGTCCCTTCTAACAACGTGCCCCAAGTACAGGGAACAATTTCACCATCCTTGCCTTTCAGAAGCACTCTTGTGGCACTTCCTCCAAGATAGACTTATTTGTTCTTTTGCCCGTCCAAGATATACTCGATGCTCTTCTCCAACACTGCCATTTAAAGGCATCAGTTCTTCTGTCATCCTTAATGCTTGTCCAACTTTCAGATGTATAGGAAGCAACTAAGAATATTACAGCTTGAATCAGGCACATCTTACTCGTTAAACTGATCTGCTTGTTCTTTCGCACTCTGGAGAGGTCCCTGACGGTGGATTTTCCCAACGCAACAAATCTTTTTATTTCTTGCCTGCAGTTACTATGGGTGCTCACTGTGAATTCAAGTGAAGTGAAATTATTGACAACTTCTCTATTTTGATGTTGCCTCTTGGTCCAATGGTAAGAGGTATTGTTTCCTTGATGTTGAGAAGTAATCTATACTGAAAGCTACAGTCTTTGATCTTCCACACTAAGACTGAAACTCTCCAAATGATCACAGATTTTAAACTTGATATTTCAGTTCCTCTTCAACTTGCCCCTGTACAGATTATTTATCCAGGAACAGGTGCTTTATACTGAATCTACTACTAGAAATCAAAGACAGGGCCTGTAGTTCTCAATCATCTCCTTCAGATCGTAAATCTCTGACTTTCTCCACATTCCTGACTCTATCATCCAGCCAGAAAGAACAAGAATTATCAAGATATGACCCTTAAATATCAGAAACATTTTTTTTCATCCAAGTTTCTAAAGTAGACACTGCTGGCTAAAGATTCTATAATATGTAAATGTCAATTTTTTTTAATTTTAAACTTCTCTAGCACTGTTTATGATTTGTCTATGGAATGGATTTCCTGAAGCCAGAAAGTCTGATGAAACTTTCCAACACAGAACTTAAAAGAACAATGATTGACTATTTTCAATTGTTGAAAGATAAACTTAAAGAATTATAGGACACTGTAAGCAAAAACCAGGAGGAGCTTAAAAAAAACAATCCAAAACAATACAGATAAAACAAATGAAGCATTAGTGTCTCCGGAATAAAACAAGAAACCACAATCTAAAATATGAGGATCAATGTTTCAAATGCTGTCAACATGATGGGAGGTTCACATGAACACAATTGAACAGACATTTCACCAAAGAAAACATTCAGATGGTGAATAAACACATGAAGAAATGTTCAAAATCCCTAGCTCTAAGAGAAATGCAAATCAAAACAACTATGAGATATCATCCCACCCCAGTCAGAATAGCAAAATTCAACAGAGCAGAAAACAACAAACGCTGGCAAGGTTGTGGAGAAACTGGAACCCTTATTCACTGTTGGTGGGAATGTAAAACGGTGCAACCACTGTGGAAGGCAGTATGGTGCTTTCTCAAAAAGTTGGAAATAGAAATACCATTTGACCCAGCAAGACCACTACTGGGAATATACCCCAAAGAAACCATAATTGCCACTCAAGCAGTTATATGCACACTCATGTTTATCGCAGCTTTGTTCACAATAACAAAGAGTTAGAAACAACCCAACTGCCCATCAACAAACGAATGGATAGAGAAGCTGTGGTATATTCACACAATGGAATACTATGCTGCATTGAAAAACAAGGAATTCATGAAATATTATACAAAATGGGTGACCATGGAAGACATTATGCTGAGTGGAATATCTCAGTCACAAAAAAAGACAAATACTGCATAGTGCCACCGTTATAAAACTGACATGGGGGTTGGGGAAAACAAAGAAAAGAGGGGACAAATAATGTACATGGCATTGAAACATACAAGGGAGAGGATGGTATAAAAGGAATATATGATTAGATATTTACTGACATGACAAGAGTCCAGAATAAAAGCTTCATAGTAAAGTAGACTGGTTGGGGTGTGGGACACATTGTGTAACAATGAAAGAATTTTTTTTTCCAAAGAAAAAGGAGAACTAGGGAGGAGGGGGAGCAGAGAGGAAAATGTGCAACAATGATTGAATGGAAATCCAAGTTCTCTATAAACTTTCATTAAAATCTCAATAAAAAAAGAGTTATGAAGCATTTCTATGTTTAGAAGTCTACAGACAAGATTCTTTAAAATAAAAAGGACGGGGGGTGGGGGAAAGATACTTTCATTTTATTTGTTTCTAAGACATCTCCACCAGCTATTTATATATATTAATTTCATTATACTTTAACAAGAGAAATCTCACGTTTTTTACTTACCAAGGCCACAATGGGTATAGGTACACCAAGTATCTCTTCATCCACTGTTCCAAAATGGTGGCTTCAAAGCAAATGAGTTTAAAAGTTATTACATTAGAAAGACTCATTCCAACATTCAGAGCAAATATCTTTTAGCACAGGTTAAAAGTTACATAATAAACACACATGCAATAGAACTCTTTTCCCTACCAAGGCAAAATAAATTCGGGGACAAGTGTGTCCCTTATGTCTGAGGCTCATTACCTCGTGTCCCTCACGGGAGGCAGAAGAGACAGCGGAATCGAAAGCAGGGAGGTAATGAAACTGCTCCAGCACATCTGAGCATAGAAACAGGTCATGAGAAGCCAACCCAAAGTAAATAAATTGCTAATTCATAAATAAAAGGAGGGCAAAACCTCTCTTTACCTCATAAGGGTCAAACAGTCCAGTAGTGCTGGCATTTGAAAAATCTGTGGCATATTTAGAACCTAAGTGTACATTGAAAAGGATATATTTATTATCAGGCAGTGTGGAAACTTATATTACTGGTTAATAATCTAGTCATAAACCTAAATTCATCCTCACATGTGTATTTCTGATGCAGTCTCTAAATCAATATTACATTTAATATTTATGAACCATTAGTTTATTAAAAACACTTTTATACATACCTTACTTAAAATTTCCAATCACAATGAGTAAGGGTCTCAGATACCCTAAGTGTTTGTCTGAAGTAATAACAGTTGCAAAGCGGTAGATTTTGTACCAAAGTGAGGTCTTCTCACTCTGGGATTGATGACTGTGTACTCATTCTGTATCCCACATTTCTTTTTAATTTTACAACCACCCTTTTTTAACCACGAATCTGAATCAATTGCAATTATTAGAGCAGTATTTAATTGCAATTGTTAGAGCAGTATATCTAAGGCACAGGATAGGAAAAGGCATTGTTACTTTTTCACCTTAATCTTTTTTATCACATTTAGGCTCTTGAGATAAGAGCTATCCTTACCTTTTGTGAGTTTATGTAACAACCAAGTATCAACAGTCCCAAAGCAGCAATTCCCTTCTTCAACAGCCTTTCGCACCTTGAAAACATAATGGGACCAAATCTTTTACAAAAAGTTCATTAAGTGGAAGACTAAATGCAGAATAGCAGATGCATTCTAGTCTCATTTGGGTAGCACAGTTTGACTTCTAGTACAGACTTAAAAGTTGGAGAGACATCATGCCAGGAAAGGTGGAGACACAGAGAAAGAGAAGAAGACCCTCAAAATGGACTGACATAGTCAGTAGTACACTGGGCTCGAGCAGGCCTGAGATGCTGTGGATGGAGCTATTCACAGGGTCATTATGAATTGTTGTCTACTTGATGGCACCTTGTAATGACAAATGTGAACCTCCTCAATGAAGCTACAAGATAAATACAAGAAGATCTGTGTTTATACATATTATCACTAAGAAAACCTCTGTGGGCCAGTTCTACTTGGTAATACAAAGGTTACCATGAATTGACATTTAGCATTGACTGGATGGTAAATGGTTTTGTGGTGACTGTCTCTTCATATAAAAATACATCATATGTGTTTATTTACACACATATAAATATATATTATTGTTGTTTTTATGTGCTGTCGAGTCACCTGTGACTCATAGTGACCCTATGCACAATAGTTCTGAAACCTGTTTTATCCTGTGCAAATCTGTCCCTGACACATCTATCCCCATTACCCCAGTCATTCTGCCAATCCCTCTCACACAGGGGCTTCCTCTCTTGGGCTGTCCCTTCATCTTTCCAAGCATGATGTCCTTCTCCAAAGACTGGTCCCTCCTGGAAACCTGCCTAAAGTATGAGAGATGAAGCCTCAAAATCCTTGCTCTACACACATCACGGAGTGGGACATTTCGGCTTGTATTCAATTTCTATTCATGTGTTCTGACTCTTAACAAAGAGGTTTCCTAAAAGTAAAGCATATAAAGATGCCATATTTTCTACTTTAATACCTAAATTTCCCACAAATAATCATATTCTCATCTTTATATATTTTCTATTTCGGTATGTACTCTGTTGTTGTTAACCAACTCAGAGCCGACTATAGTTGACCCTCCAACGGGTTTTTAGAGGCTGTGAAACACAAGGGAGGAGACTGCCCATCTCTCTGCCACAGAGCAGCTAGTGGATTCGAATCATGTGCCTTTGGATTGGCAGCGCAACTCCAAACCATTAAGCCATCAGAGCTGCTCCAATAGCAAGACGCCTGCATTTCTCTCAAATTACTATCAATAGCCTGATGTAACCATGGTATTCTGAAATGCTTTGTGCACATCTGAAAGCTGGACAGTGACTAAGGAAGACCAAGAAGTATGCCTGTGAATTTGGTGTTGGTGAAGAGCATTGAGTATCCCACAGGCTGCCAACAGAACCAAAAAAATCTATCTTGGAGGATGTGAAACCAATTTACTCCTCAGAGGCAAAGATGGCAGAACCTCATCTCACAAACTTTGGCCATGTGATCAGTCCTTGGGAAAAGACACTGTACTGAGAAAGGCAGAGAGTCAGAGAAAGAGAGGAAGATCTGGAGATGGATCAACACAGAGACTCCAACAATGGGCTCAAGTGTGGATGAGACCGTGAGGCTGGTGCAGGTAGATCAGCTGTTCACAGAGCTGCTATGAATCACAGTTGACTCTATGGCACCGAACAGCAACAGTGTCTTTATTAATTTTTTGTTTGCTTTTTAAATTCTTCTTCACAGTCTTTATGTGGTTCCCACCTAACCCACACAAGCCTTTCTTACCTCCACCAGGTTCTGTAAAACCCAGGCCAACCTCACAGAAACATGCTGCGTTGTGAAAGTGAACAAGCTGGCTCCTAAAAGGCGTTTACTTCTCGTGAAGAAATGAAGCAGTCGGCAGGAACTGTGGATTAGCTTTGAAAAAAAAATATCAGGACACTGTATTTAATGATACCTGAGGTTTCTATGTTAATAATCTACACGTGCATAGCCAAGACCAGACAGAGGTTGTTTAACTACTGTAGTGGAGGAATGGTGACCTCTCAAAAGGCATGTTCATCCTGAGGCTGTGATCTTTCTTGGGAAACAGGTTTCTAGAGATATTACTAAGTTAAGGAGCTCAAGATAGAATCATCCTGCGTTAAAGCCCAAATCACTTTTATTCTGAGCAGATTTCAATTCCTTAATACTCCATATACAACAGAACCAAATGTGTGTGTGTGGGGGGGGAAATACCTAGTGTCTCATTTAGTCATTCTTGCTGGTGGGAGAAAAGTTCTGGCATCTTTGAAAACAAGAAAACCTTCTGAGCAAATTTCATTTCTAAGAGTTGACTGTGGATCCAAGAATGATTAAATCCTTGACATCACCAGTCTTTTCTCCCTGCTCATCACAATGTTTCTTATTTATGAGGACTTCGGTTTTATGTTGAACGCTGTGTGTAATCTTTGATATTCTTCACTGAGAGCTCAAGTACTCTTCACAAGCAAGGCCGAGAAGTGTCACACCAACCCATTAAGAGCTTTAAGATCTGCACCTTTAGTTAACATCTGAACAGTCAACACCTTCCTTCATATACTTAACAAACACTGACTCAACTCAACGCCATCGAGTCAGAACCAACTCATAGACCTCTCCATAGATTTCTGAGGGTGTAAATCACAAGGGAAGGAAATGTCCATCTTTCTCCCACAGAGCCACTGGACTCTGGTCAAACCAACAGAAAGCCATGCATTTGAGGTTAGCAACCCTGGATGGGCAAGGCCACCAGAGCTCCCCAACATTTACTGAGTACCTTCTATGGACCAAACTGCTAGGCCTGAAAGAAACTGAGTGAACTATACAAGCAAAACCTCTGACTTGTTAGAACTTAATTTCCAGTAGAAAAAATGCAGATAAGTAATCAATAAATGAGACACATTATAAGAAGGCACATTATACGGTGAACAATTTCAATGTGTGATCTAAAAGGGAAAAATGCTGCTAATTAAATTATGGCATAATAATAAGACATAATTGCTTAAAAATGTATCTTGACTCCAGAGACATTAAAATATGGGGGCGGGGGGAGGGAATTTTTATGCTGTATCACTCATAACTGGAGCTCTGGTGGCCTAGTGGCAAGAAGCTGTGTTGTGATCCCGAAAGCTCATGGTTTGAGGCCACCAGCTGCTCTGTGGGAGGATGGGCAATCTCTTCCTGTGCGATTAACTGCCTCTAAAAACCCACTAGAGGTTCAGCTATGGGTCTGTTCCAACTTCTATGGTATACAACAACAACAACATCACCCAGAATTGTAAAATCATACAATTACTTTGTTAACCAGTTTGACAGTTTCTTAGAAAACTAAATACTCAATTATTTTATGATTTATATTAATAATGGAGTTCCCGGACACTGATCTTAGAAAAATTAAAGCAAGTTCACATAAATATGTACTGTAGCATTCATCTCAGCTTTATCTGTAATGGCCAAAAATACATCAAAGTCGGCACAACTATCCTTCAATACTCCACTCTTTGCCAAGTTGGTCTCAACTCCTGGCTGACCCCCTCACTGGGTTTCCAAAGCTGTAAACAGCATGGGTGGAGACTGCTCGGCATCATTCCAAGGAGTGGCTGGTGGATTTGAACCACCAGAGCGACACACCTTTGAGTTAATAGGGCAACTGTACAAACTATGTCACCAGAGCCTCTTGTCCTTCAAGAGTGAATGGAACCATAAATGTACATGATGCCAGTGAACAAGATTTGGCATTGAAAAGGAACAACCTGCGGACACACATAACAAAGTGGATGATCTTCAGGGAATTGAAGCGAGTGGAGGGAAAATCCCCAAGGTTAAGATCGCATGACTAAATTACTGAGATGAGAAAATGTTAGGGCTTTGTGTTGGGTTTGTGGTGTTTTTTTTTTCTTCATTTTATACTGGTTTACATACAAAGTTCATAAAGTTCATCTGGAGAGCAGATCAGGGTCTGTCAGGACTTAAGGGCGCAGGAGGGCAGGCCGTGCACAGAAAGAGGTGAATATGGTTTAAATGGGCACGATGAGGGGGATTTCTAGTGTTGAAACTGTTCAGTTCCTAAACTACAGTAATGGATACCTGATCTCTGACAGCTAAAAAAAAATTAAAGGATAATAGAAACAAAACCACACATAACTGGGCACAAGCCAATCTGGAGATACTAGAATAATTACTGTGGACTCTATCAATGTCAACACCACAGCCGTGACATTTTTCTATAGTTCGGCATGACATATATATTCTTCCACTGGGAGAAACTGGAAAATGTATAAGGAATTTTTCTGTGTTGTTTCTTACAAGTGCATCTATAGTTCTTTTTTTTTTTAACAAAACTGAAAATTTTTATTTCAGTCTCATTCAAAAAGTACCCTTCTACCTTATATACATTTTTAAAAAAAAATCTTGAATTTTTTAAATTTTATATTATTAATTTTATAACATTTACAGAGATTTTGGATTTCCATTCATTCACTCTTATACTTTCCTCCCTGCCCACCCCTCCCCCCAGTTCTCTCTTATTAATAAAAATTCTATTAAAAAGTATTTTTCAATGAAATTCTATTTAGTGATGTTAAGAAAATAAGGAAGAGTGTGACAGGCCTGGGGCAGGGCTGGGAGGGGACAGTTTGAACAGGTGGCCGAAAAAGCCCCCCATCATGTGAACTGGGCCTTGAAGAACAAGCAGGGAAGTCTTGAGGTGAGAAAGGGCCTGGGTACCACCAGGAAAAAGGCAGACTGGCCAAGCCAGCCTTAGTGACACAAGAGAGAAGGGGATGTGAACAGGGATCAGAGTCACACGTAGGCCAGACCCTGGCTGCCCCACAGGAGGAAGATGGGCAAGCGCCTCCTGTGTGATTTACAGCTGCTGTAAATCCAGGCGGCCAGCTGTGAGTCAGTTTTGACTTGATGGCAATGAGCAAGAGTCTCTACAGACGTAGTAAAAGAAAACCCAATGTGGGCTGAGATTGTGACAAAATTGTTTCACTCACTCATCACGGTTATCTTCTAAAATATATTACAGTTTGTTTTAATATGCAGTTAGTGTCTCTAAAAACTTATAAAGTAAAATATGATGTTCTGGACACTGGCCCTCTCCCATGCACCATCTGGTACAGGCACTTGATCTGAGAAGGCATATTAAATAACTGAGTGATGTTCCTGCAAATATCTGCAATCTGAACGAAGCTTTATGCAGGTAGAGGTGTTCTTGCTTGGAAATAAGGTCGGTTAAGTTCCTGAGGACTTATCAGTACAACATGTATTCTAAAGCTAATTACTTCTGTGTTTTAAAAAGCACAGATTGGACATAGAAACACCAGGGAATACAGAAGCCATGTGAGAGTTGTCAAAGGATCCTGACAAGGAAGAAATCAAAACAACTGATGTCCTGATTTAGCCTTTCAGCCTCCCAAAGTGTTGGAAAATAAGTTTCTGTTCTTTCAAGTCAAACACTTGTGGTATTTCTGTTATAGCAGCATTAGGAAACAAAGACAGCCTTTAATGGTGAAGTACCAAAGTAATAACTTAATAATTATCAGTAAATATTCTTTTCATTGCAATACTCTCAGTGTAAGAAAATTCTTCTCATTCTCACCCTGAGTTTTGTGCTATCCATTCACCCGTCCTGCCCCTTCCTGCTTAGTGAGCTTTTATTTTTGGACAAGTGGTCTGTCTACTGTCAATCATCTACTGGCTTAAAGATGCTCTCTGAGAGTAAGTCCAGATCCAGGTTGAAAGGGTATCCCAAGCCCAGAGTCTGGAGGTTCCACCAGTCTCTACTGATCCACCCAATCTGATCATATTTATTATTTTGAATTTTGTTCTTAATTTTCCCCCAGGGCCTTCTAGGGTGATCCTAATCAGTGTAGTCAGTATAGGCTGCCGGGCACCATCTGCTTCTTCCAATCTCAGGCCCCCAGAGGTGTGAACTGTATGGTCTACTGGTCTTTGGGGGCTGCCTCCTCAATTTTCTTCACACAGCTTTGCTTCAGATTGAAAGAAACTAATAACTGTATCTTGGACGGCTGCTTGCAATTTTGTTGCTGTTGTTTTTTAAGTAATATTTTGTTTGCCTTAGATGACAGTTTACCTAAAAAGGTGGTGGTGGTGTTATGTGCCATTGAGCTGCCTGCAACTCCCAGCAACCCCATGCACAACAGCTCTAACTTCAGCTCTATCTTGAGCCAACCTTATTGTCTCTGACACACCTACACTAATAACCCCACAAGTTAGGCTACCCTTAAATAATTTTTATTCAAATTGTTCCATGCCATTGGTTATATTCTTTACAGTGCATTAGCATTTTAATTCTTTTTCCTAACAGGGTTGTCCTGGTGAGGGTGAAGCCAAGCTGCTCCTTGAAGTCAAGGATTCTGAAGCTTTGTCTGACATACTTTGGGCATGTTGCAAAGAAGGACCAGTGCTTGTTAATTGTCAACTTTCAGTTATGTTTGCTAGGCCACTTATGCCATAAATCAGGGCTCCTACATTTGCTGTTTCTTCTTCCATGATCTTATAGTTTCACCTTTTACATCTAGGTCATTGATATGCCTCAAGTGTGTTCTTTTACATCATGTGAAATATGGATCTTGTTTCATTCTTTTCTACAAATGGATATCCAGTTCTTTGCCTAAAGCATTCTTTTTAGCATTTCATGTTACATTTTTACAGATTTTACAAATTCTCTTAATGTCTGTTTATCTGGAGATGACAATAACTAAGTTTTACCATCCTATTTGAGGGGTAATTGAGCTGTACATATAATAATTCTTGGGTGGCTTTTATTTTTTCTTTCACTAACTGCTTTTTCCCCCGCCAATTTTGTGTGTGTGTGTGTGTGTGTGTGTGTGTGTGTGTGTTTTCTTTTATTCAATGACTTCTTGCTTGCATGACCTTCTACCAAGAAATCAGAGCTTAGTTTTATTGGATCCCTTTTGCAAATTACTTTTGTTTTCTCCCCACGTCTCTCTCAGAATTTTTTATCTTTGATTTTTAATAGTTTGATTATGATATATCTTGGTTATTCTATTTTGGGGTCTATCCTATTTTGGATCTTTTAAGCTTCTTGGATAAGTATCTTTCTTCATATCTTTCTGGTAGTACATCACTGAAAATTTTCTCTGCATTTTGGTTTTGTTTTGTTTTTTTTTTCCTATTTGACCTCTTCCTGTTCTAGAATTTCAATCATGTGTAAATGATTCCGCATGACAGTGTAATATATAACACTTGGGTTTCTTCATTAGTCTTTCTATTATTCCTCTAAAAGACCAGTACTAAGGGATTTGTTCTTTATTTCAGTGATTGATACTAACTTCTACTGATTCATTATAATCCTTTGTCTTTGCAATGCATTATTTATCTCTGAAATTTTGATGTTAAACCTCTGAATTTCTATTATAAATTCTACTTAGGAAGTGTCATTTATATATTATTTTCATTAAAGTTTAGTTGTTTTAATAACAAAAAGGTGATTAAATTTAGATATTTCATCCTATCTCATCTGTATCTTTTCCATTTCTCAAGACCAGAAATATGAAGTTTCAGGTAGTTTCTGACTTGTAGTTGTTAATAATTCAATTCTACAATTTTACCAGTGTAAGGGGTGTGTGTGTGTGTGTGTGTGTGTGTGTTTGTATTCTCTCCTTAATGTCCTAAAATTACAAAGGCAGAAAAGTATACAACTAAGGCACAGTTAATAGAGAATTACAGGAAAAACAGTACTCAAATTACAAGCGATAATAAAATTATTACCTTGACTATAAAGGAATTATTCCAAGATTTTACAAGGTCAGCCGCTCTTAGGTCTTGCCAACTTATAAAGTTGTGAAATTGCTTTCCCGTTTTCCTGAAGGTGGAGATAATATTATAAAAAAATTATACAGATGAGAAACCATGTTCTATTATGATCTGCCACAAAAGAAAACATTTCTAAACAAACTGTAATTAGCATCTCCAACTTTCTGATTTCTTCCTACCAACCCTCCCCATAGTTAACTGTTTTCATGGATCTCAAGAGTTACCATTTCAGATACATTTCTTTTTTTATTAATTTCAATGAACATTTACAGAGATTCTGGATTTCCATTCGTTCATTGCTGCACTTTTCTCCCCGCCCACCCCACCCCCCACCCCCAGTTTGCTCTTCTCTTTGAAAAGTAAAAGAAAAATTCCTTCACAGGTATACAATCTCCCCACAACCCCCACCCCCACCCCGAGTATACTCCACTCTGCAACCTTCATTCAGGACTCTTATGATAATCATAATGCCCTAAAATATATTGCTTTTAAACTGTTCTCTCCCTCATCGGTTTCAATGCGGTATACATAATTCATGCAGTTTTTCTCATTCTTACCCTAACCCTGATGTCAGTCCCATCTGCCAGTGCCACTGCAGTGGCACTATGCAGTGTCAGATACATTTTAACCAGCAACTTGTCTTCATTCTATTTATTCCTTTTGACCTAACTATCTACCCTATTAAGCTTCTATGTGCAGATCAAGTTTACTTGCTATTCTCCTTACTCTCAATGCCAGCGACGGTAAAAGGAACTGGGGAGGAGGGGGAAATCACCCAGTCTGTGAATTGGTACTAATCCTTATCAATGGGATACCATCTTGCCTACACTTTCCTTTTTCTTGTCCCTCATGTGTTCCCTCTCTAATCCTTACAATGGTAAATCCAGGTTTCTCAAGCTCTTGGTCCCCTGTGGCTTCCTAGTTCTCAAAGGAGATGAGTAGACAGAGAATGATTTTCCTCAGCTCTACACTCCTCCACTCGCTATACCAGGGGTCATCCTGCATCTCTCCCAGGACACAGGAAAACTGCTTCCTCTCCAGGTTCACAGCTGACACCCCCTACTGTATTCTCTTTCTCTATGCACTGCCATTTCTTTTATCACCTCATGTCATCAATTATTCCTTTTACCTTCTTCTCAAAGCATAGTAAAATTTCCCTGACTCTGGTGGCCTAGTGGTAAGAAGCTGCACCGCAATCCTTAAGCCACGTGGTTCAAATCCACTAGCAGCTCTGCAGGAGCTGTTAGGTGCCATCAAGTTGAGTATAATACGACTCACGATGACTCTTGAACAAAAGATCTGAGCCCCGTTTTGTCCTGCGCATCCTCATACTTCCTGACACACAAGCGCCAACTGCGGCAGTGACCGTGTCAACTCACCTTGTCGAGGGGCTTCCTTTCCTTTCCTTCACCGACCCTCCACCCTTCCCACCATCATGTCCCTCTCCAAGGAATAGCACACCTCCTAGCAACATGTCCGAAGTGTGTGAGGAAGGACACACGATCTCCTCCCATGCAAGTAACTGCTTCTGAAAACCCACTGGAGGGTCACCTTTGAGTTGGTTCCAACTCGACAGTGTATAACAACACGAAGCAGAACCAACAACATCTCCCTTTATCCTGAATGTCCTCCACCAAGCCCGCTTATCTCTTCCCCAATTTCCTCTTCACCCCCTTCACCGAGGCCAAATGAAAGTTAGATCGCCTTCACAATCATGGTCACTGGCTTCCTGAGCACGTGGGCTCTGTGTCTTCCTTATTTTACTCTCCATTTCCAAAGCACTTTCACTGCTTCAGGCACACCCGGCTCTTATATTCCGGGGCCACTTCTGCTGATTAACTCTTTCTATTAAGCAAATTTCTACTCATCTGGATAAAAAAACAACAACAACAACAAACAAACCCAACCAAACTCCCATCGTCCAGCTGCTTCCAACTGATGTCAATTCTACAGGGCAGAGGAGAATTGCTCCATCTGAATGGGAGCAGATAACATCCTTTCCCTTGGAGTAACAGATGGATTCGAACTTCCATCACTATACGACCAGGATACTGACCTGGCTCAAGAACACCGTGAAAGGTTCCCTGACTGCCCCTGCCAGGCTAGCCAGCCTTCATCCTCAAAATCTCTCACCAGCAGGAATGAAGCACCACCACAGGGCAGAGGTCCACCAGGCTGCACTCCCACGTCCCGAGGGCACATCTGGACTGACTCCTGGACTCTAAGCCTTTCTTACCACCTACTCCAGTTACGAAAGAGGTAACAGACTAACAAATCTTGCCCTACTGAAAGATTATCAGATTGTTAGCTAGAAATGAAATTGAGTAATCTATACTCCTACTTTCTACAACAGCACTCATAGGTAGAGGCATCTGCTTTTCAATCCCTGATCTTCAGCAAAGATTTACAAAGAAATTTGTGCCAGGAACTGGTGGCATGGCCACAAGCAGAGGGTTATGACATCTTTGCCCCGACATATATAACTCTACCAAGAGAAGTCAAACCACCATTCACTTACTCAATTATTTAACCACAACGGGAAATGAAAGAGAAATGTGAAGAACCATCGAGTGTATAACAGGGAGAGACCATCAAATGTGAGGCAGGCTCTGAGAAGGCTTCTTCAAGACATGACCCTGGAACCCAGCTTGTTGAAGGGTGTGTGACCTAATTGACAAGATGGGTGAACACTCCTGACAAACTGTACTGTATATGCTCAAACATGCAGAATCACGCAAGCTGTGTCAGAGGGGCTGAAGGGCCAATGTGGCTGAAGCACAAATAGGGTGTGAAGATCACTGGATGGAAGTGGCATCTTTAACTCATAAGATGGTAGAATATGGATCTCAGTAACCAGACACATTTCCAATACTCACTTGGCATTGATCTAGATCTCTGTCAGAAGAAAAAAAAAAAGAAGTGATGCTGGAGAGGACTCATTCAGTACACGATTTGTTTTCAACTTCTCTAGGACTTTTTACATTCTTACGGTTATTACATATTTCTATGTCCTAAATTAGTAAGCACCAGGACACAAGTATATGACACATAAAAAGACGTATTTGGTGCTATGGAAACACACACAGCTTGTATACCTGTATTATGGAGTAGTAACTTCCTTGAGGGCTGCTGGCACTTTTGTTTGTCTTTATATTCAGTGCAGTGATTAGCATGGTGCTTCACACCCAGTGAACACGCCCTCAGCAGTTACTAAGTGAATCCCGGTTCATGACTCAGAGTTTATGTATGTTGCTAATTGGTACACACCCTGACTACAGGTTAGTTAGTAGAAAACTCCTTGAGAGACACCACAAGTGAAGAAACTAAACAGTTCATTGTGGGTTTGTTTTTTTTTAGGACAGAAAGGATTTTAATACAACTGAAATGAGGTGGCATCATTTAAGAGTTATTTTGGAAAACAAGTTCACTTGTAGCACTAATTGAACCATGAGGCGGGGAAACCAAGTCTAAGAGCATAAGAAAGAACAAAGACTGAAAAGAATTAATAAAAACTGGGTTCCCTGAGTGCTGGGAGGGATCAAGGGAAGAAAGGAGAAATGCAAAAAGAAAATATGATTTAGACCCCCTGACAGCAACTGGAAGAGAAATAATGTTCCCTTGGCCATCACTGGAGAAACGTACCCCGGGTGCAGAAGAAGAAAAAAAAAAAAAAAAAAAACCCAAATGAGTTGAGAAAAGGAGGTTCCAGCAGGGACTGGAACGAACAGACTGTTCTTCACGGTCTAGTGTATCTCTGGCCTTCCCTCAAAAAGAGCAAAAAAAGTACTTCCTGCTGGCTCAGAGCTGCGTTCACTCCTGCCTGTGTCTTGCCTTGTAGAGAATCTGCCAGGCACAGTGAGCAAAAGAAATCTGTTCTTTAAAAGTAACAAGAGGAGGATGACTTGTTGGTTATTTGTTTGTTTGGTTTTCAGAAAATATCTGGTATCTCATTTTCAACAAACAGAGGTTTCAAAATGCCTGAAGGAACATAGTTATTCCAGGGGTGGGGCGGGGGGAAAGGAAAAAGGGACAAGCAAGAAAGTAAATTCACAAATAACTGTTTTAAGAAAAAATCATATGTATTGCAGTAATACCATCACCAGTAAGGAACTGAACTCTCTCAGACTCTGATACTATTCCTCCTAAATGGGGAGGGCTCCACAATCAACACTCTTGGTACCAGAAGCCAGGAAATCAAAAGATAAATTGCACTGGTAAAGTCTTCTGTCAGGGACCTCTCCAGAGTATGGAAGAGCAACGAAGTCAGTCTGGAGACTAAGGTGCACCTGATCTGAGGCCAGGGTCCTCACAATTATTTGCTAATCAGAAAGCTAGACAATGACTAGGGATCAGGATGACAGAAGGAGAATTGATGCCTTTGAGCTGTGGTGCTGGTGAAGAGTACTGAATATACCACGAACAGCTAGGAGAACAGATTTGTCCTGGAGAGGGCGAAACCAGGCTGCTCCTGGATTCCCTGAGTGCTGGCAAGAATTCTGAAGCTCTGTCTGACATACTTTGGACATGTCACAAGGAGGGACCAGTCCTTGGAGAGGAATATCATGCTTGGGAAGGTGGAGGGAAAGTGCAGGAGGGGAAGATCCTGAATGAGATGGACTGACTCAGTGACTGGGGTAGATGTTCCAGAGACAATGAGGTTGGCTCAATAAGGAGCAGGGTTCTGAGCTACTGTACACAAGGTTGCTATGAGCCATGAGCAACTTAAAGGCACATAACAAACAACAACATCAACCTGAATAAAAAAAAAAAGAACTCTAAAATTTGAAAAGACACCTACTGTTGTTCATTCTAATTTACTGTGAACCTGTAAGACAGAGGAGGGCTGTCTCAAGACCATAAACATGGGAGGAGACCACCTCATCTTAATTCCACAGAGCCGTGCAGGAGATCAGTTACTACCTTGAGCTGGAATCAACTCATAGCTGATCCTCCCCTGGGCTTCCCAGTGGCTGTAAATAACACAGGAGAAAACCGTGCACCTCCTGCAGATCACTGGGTGGATTTGAACCCCCTGAGAGGAGTGGCCTG